TCTCTCTCTCTCTCTCTCTCTCTCTCTCTCTCTCTCTCTCTCTCTCTTTCTCTGTAATTTTGGCATCTTGACTATAGTGGAGTAGAGATCTAAATGCATCTTCTACTTATAGGTCCAATTCTTTCCCTGGGTTTAGGAGGTTCCTGCTACAACATCACTAAACCAATTTTCTATGCCTTTTGTTTTTATCTCTGTTTTCTCAATTCTGTGAATTTTTTATATATTATTTAAATCGCTGCTTGGCCAATCACTTAAGCTTATTGCTAGCTAGCTCTTGTATCTAGAATTAACCTATTTCCATTATTTTATATTTTATTACAAAGCTCATGGCCTACCGGCAAGGTTCCTGAATGTCTGTCTCCAGCGGTGGCTCCATGGCTTCTCTCAACTCCACCTTCCTTTTTTCAGCGTTCAGTTTAGTTTTCCCTGCCGAGCTCTGTTCTACCCTATCACAGGCCCAAAACAGCTTCTTTATTAACCAATGGTATTCACAACATATAGAGGGGAATCCCACATCACCTCCCCTTCTCTTTTTAAATAAAAATGATGGTTTTAACTTTAATATAGTAAAATTACATATAACAAAACAGTTATCAAGCAAGAATTATAGTTATAATATTTATATCTTTTTATATTTTATCATTACTAAGGAAAACTATGACTATCTATTCTTCAACTCCATCAAAGACTCGGGTTAATTTTATCTGAGTTAACAGAAGTGCATTGTAAACAACTTCCAAAACTCTAGAATTGACAGAGACATCTCACTGCCTGTACAGTCACCCAAAGTTCTTCTGTAACATTAGAACATCCATCTTCAGCCTACAGGCCCATAGTATCCAGCAGACTTTTCCATGAAGCAGGAAATTTTAAAGACAGTTCTGCCTATATTGGCAGTTTGTCAGTCACTTTCTTCTGTGTCCTGAAGAATGTTTGGTAGACTCTTTCATGAAATAGGAACCCCAAAGGACTGCATCACTTTTAGGCAAGTTCGGAAGTCCTTTCTCTGTAGGTCCTGCATGTCCAGTTCATCAAGCAGTCCAGGCAAGAGCAGTTTCTTGCCCAAATGGGTAACCAACTTCATAAGGAGTCTCTTTGATGCCCATCGTCCTCCTCAATTAGATTGGTGCTGCCAGGAGCTGATGTGTCTCATTGTCGTGAAAAGTACTATGGTCTTAAACATTTTAAATGCCATATTCTGAAGGTCTCTGAAACACTTGAATACCTATATAACTGAAATATATCTCTATATATATCTAAAAAACCTAGTTAACATGACTACAAGCTTGATTGTTATAGATGACTATCTATTAACCTGTATTTCTTAGTGATACATTACATTTTTAAGTGAACTGCATGAACACAATACTTTAATCAAGAGCAGAAATTGCATATATAATAAAATTGACCTTAAATTTGTATCAATAAAGAAAGATCCATACCAATGCAAATCTCTATAACATATCCCCCTTTAAATGTAAACAAAGATTTATAACAATCATTTAGGGAATTTGGGTGTAGTTCTTTCCAAACTGCTTCCTGCTTTTTGTGGGGTGAAGTAATTTTGTGTGGGTATTCACGGCAACCTTTCAGAGAGTATTGGTTCACCAAACTCAATTAATCTGGAATTAATCCATAGGTTCTCATCTTCTGTGGAAACAAAAGCAGAACATCTTTTCCAAAGCAAAATATTCTTAGACTCAAATTTTGAAGTCAAGAAACCTTTAAAACATATATGTTGGTTTAGCTATTAGTCCCCAGAATCAAATGTCTCTGCAGTCAAAAAATTCAAAAAAAAAAAAACAATTTTATACATAATACAGACTCTCTTGTGCATTTCGTACTTATGTGGCTTATTTTTCTTTACTTCTATTACTTTTTCTACAAGTTTACTCTGTCTCTTTAAAGACTTTGTTTTATTTTTAAAAACCATTTACTTCTTTTTTCATATTTATTTATTTATTTACTTATTATGTATACAGTAATCTGTTTGTGTGTATGCCTGTAGGCCAGAAGAGGGCGCCAAACCCCATTACAGATGGTTGTGGGCCACCATGTGGTTGCTGGGAATTAAACTCAGAACCTTTGGAAGAGCAGGCAATGCTCTTAACCTCTGAGCCATCTCTCCAGCCCCCATTTACTTCTTTTTATAACTCTCTATACTCTTTTTCTTCTCTCTCCCAAGCCTCCGTACATTTATCCAACACTGTGACCCATTAAGAGGTCTTTTTTTTTTTTTATCTGAATCGGTCTTATTGTGTATCCGTAATTATTTTCTGACCAGAAGCGTCTCTCTCTCTCTCTCTCTCTCTCTCTCTCTCTCTCTCTCTCTCTCTCTTTCTCTCTTTCTTTCTTGCTAAGCGGATGTGGTTAGGGCCAATGAGGCCCTGCCTGTCGGCTCCACCCAATTCAACATGGAAGAAGCATATTTACTGTGTGTACTGCCTCTGAGACTGCCCAGTGGGAGCCATACCGAACTACCTCAACTCTGGGAAGTACTGTGCAGCATATAAAACTTTTTGATCTGAGTAGCCAAATCTGCCATGCAGCGCTCTGCAATTCTGTGAATTCTTAAGCTTGTCTCCAGCTGTACCTCACAATTCATGGATATTATAGGCAAACACTTTTCTTCATTGATTTTTGAATGTCATAGTCCATTCTTTTTTCCTCCACCACTTTCTTCTGCTGACCCAGTCTGTTGAGAAGGTGGTTTTGTTCTTGTTTTTAATTAGTTGACATGTATTTCATTTCCAGTATTTCTATTTGGGTCTTTTTTTTTTTTTTTTCAAAATCTTGGTT